ATATCCCCTGAGTGAAGAATCTCGCCCTGAGATACAGCTTCTTTCAATAAATACGCTATTACCCCTCGATGTTTATTGGCATGCTTGTTATCAAGCCAGATCTAACACCGTCAGTGCCGAAACCAAAACATTTGACTGGGCATCATTACCTGGCATAGCATCATCATCAAAACGAGTTCCAGCTTAAGCATAACCGGTTGATTATCATCACTCAAACAGCTCTGCAAGGACCTCAACGCCTTCCCATAAAGAGAAAAGGTCTTTTTGTCAGCAGTCTTTCTCAGACGAATTGCTTGGAACGATGCAATCATGGCAGAAGTGGTGGTATCAAGGGCAGAATTCGAGCCCATACGCCGAGGAAGATCTGCAAAGAAATAAGGGCCATATGCTTCAAAACCAAACCGATCATCATCAATTTCCATAAGCGATATAAACTCCGCCGTCAGTCTAGTCGTATCGTTGCTTGGTGGTTCAGCAGGAGGTGTGATGAGTTGAGTAGTGTGCGTATCAGGCTTGTACTGATGAAATTTGAAGCGTCTTGTCCCACTGCCTACGCACTCATCCCCAAGTCTGATACAGCGGCCGCATTTTGGCTGCTTTTGATCACACTTGTCTCATTAGTCAGAGCTTCATCTCCAAGAGGATAATAACTCATGCATACCCTCTTCTTTGCCTTTCGACAAGAGTTGCACCCGCGGCTGCTCGGGACACCGACCATTTTGTTTGATGACTGTTCAGAGTTAGGTAACGAAGGTGAGATATCCCTTGGTGGGAGATGACGGCAGAGAGTGTTATGTAAGCGTGGGATTGCTGCTTGGCAAGCGATGCTGACAGCGACGAACCAATGGATGAAGGGGGAGACAGTGTGTGAGAAATAAGCTTAATATTTTATTCTACGGAGGAAAAACACGCCGCTTACCGGGCATCAAGCTGCAGCAAACAGGTTTAGTTTGCCAGATCGGGCATGCGGCAGTTCTTGTACAGCATGTACCGGTTCATATTGAAAGATAAGCGAGGAATCCATGTCTTGAGCTGCTCGAATGCAGACTGGTAGTTATCAATGCTATCCCAGAAATGATGAACCTTCACGGGTATCTTGAAAGTCATCATGGTATCAGACAGCTCTGTGTGTCTTACCGAGAGTAAGCACCCAACAACTTATCTCTCAGTATCTCAGATGCACTCGCCTATCAATTCCCTCACAATCTCAATAGCCCCTGTAAAGTTCGCCTTTGTGAGATTCTCATTCACCCAAGGAAGAATCGGATCAATAGCAAAACACAAGCACCTCCAGTACAATGCTCTCACGAGGAGCTGGATCCTTGTATGATCCGTGCCAAGCATCTCGACCAACTTCCGATCTTCATTTAACCAGATGAGTCCATCTGCGACTATGATAGATTCTGCATAGTCAACCGGTCGCCAGTAAACCGTGATATCGATGATGGCCGGAGGGCTATTACTTTCTGGGTCGAATAAGACGTTTCCAGTTAAATCGCCATGAATAAGCTGATTCTTGATTTTCTCTCGCAATGGCTGTCGTAGCTTAAGAAGTTTGCCAAGGATCGGTTGAATAGTAGCCATAATATCGCTGTTGATCTCCTCGACATCCTCGAGTTTCTTTTCCCCCCAAGTCACAAGATCCGCCTCTGTAAATCGATTCTGTCTGGTTGATAAAAACGTGGGACTCTCAGTAGCCAATCTTACGATATCGGCATGAAAGCCACGGCAAGCTCTCATAAGAATATCAAAGTTTCCCTGAGGAGTCGCTTTCCCTTCGAGATACTCCCAGGCCGTCCAGTCATCACAAACATATTTCACAGGGGACTCTGAAGCTGGGATTGGCCTAGGGACGCGGTAGTCAATAGGATCAAGTTCGAGCAAAGAGTCGCAGAGAGTTGCAATGTATTCGGATTCTTTGTCATCGTCTGAAGGGCGGAGAAGAATGCCTTGCGAAGTTCGATAGCAGAGACCTCGACCTCCCGGGACGTGCATCACAGAGCCCTCTACACCAAAGGCGTCCAGGACATTCGGAGGCGGTCTTTGACCCATGGTAGCTTTTCGTTCCTTGCAGTGAGAAGGATAGAGAAGTAAGGCGATGGATTCTTCTGCTTTTATCTTCGAGTTTGACGATGAGGGGCGCGCCCTTTGACTGATGAGTCAGGTCATTCGACCAATCTCATGAAAATGCACCAAATAACAGTCTTATAGGACCTATCAAGTATGTGAACCAAGGAGTCGGATATTGATGATTCCAACCTAACCTCGGTCTTTGTCCAATGTCAATGACGATGTGAACTATCTTGATAAACTTGTGACCTGTAGAAAGTTCGTTTATATTCTTATTTGAAAGAAGTGATAACCTACGCGCTTCCATCCTGTACAATATAACTATAAACTATAAATCAACTCAACCTCACTTCTGCAATGCAAGTGAAACCGCACACTCAACCGCGAACCCAAAACTCCTCGCATACCAGCCAGGACCCCAATAACTGAGCTCAATGTTATGAGGTGCCGCTTTTATAACACTCAAATCAACCCTCTCGCTCTTCGGAAACCCCTCTCTAAAATGCTTCAAATGCTCCTCCGTAGCATCCCAATAATGATCCAAATGCGCCAAAGCCATCATAATCGGCACCGTAACATTAACACCCCATTTGTCCTTCCACTCACCCAACCAAGACTTTCTCAGCGCTGCAAGTTCCTCAAACGGAATGGCGTGGTCGAGGCGCTCAGACTGTGCATAAACAGTTTCGTCTGCCGTTCCTGGAAGAAGCAAAGTCTTGTCTTTTACTTCGACAGGGATGTTCAAATACGAGGGTGGAGGATCGGGCTGCGAAACATGGCCGCCTGTGTCTTTCAACAGGGAGCCAAAGCCTGATATGACGATACCGCCGAGGGAATATGCAGGTGATGATGAGTTTGCGTGCAGGGATGATGCGACAATTGCGCCGTTGGCTCCGAGGCTATGACAGTGAAGAACGATGCATGTGCATGCATTGGGCAGACCATACTCTTTCCAAAGGGTCGGGAGGATGGATTCATGAAGTCTTCGTCCCCACTGTTCAGGATAGCTTGATCCTTCGGGAATGCTCCCCACGGGCGTAGTATCCCTATAATCTGGTCGATCTATAGCCACAAACGGCACAGAGAGCGCTTCACTGATACCCCTCGCCGAGTATTCTGGGGTAGCATCGAAGTAGTGGCTCGTATAGCACCCCCCGTGAAGTCCGACCACCAACGGTCTATGCTTCAAAATTGACGGCGACGATGGAATGTTGCAGATTCCAGAGAGCACTGTGCTGTCTTGCAGGGAGAGTTTGAATGGCTCCATGGCGTCTCACCAATTAAGCATAAATGATACGCCAAACAATGAGAATCAGTTGTGGCTGTTGTTTGTCTCGACCAACAGCATAAGATAAGCAGCGTGATACAAACCAACAGCAGAAAAACACTCGTGGTGGGGTTGGTTGCAGTGATGGCGGAGACGGGCAGTGATCCGGTGACGGACTGTTGATCTCCCGCCCCCGATATCACTCGAGAACCAGGAAATGGGGATGGTCACTCAAACTAAACTAATAGATAGAAGCTCCACTTCCCCGGGCATTCTCCTCAACTTGTTTACCATCAATTGATTCATCATGGCCGATACAACAGACCCCCCGACGAATCCTTTGTATCGAGTCCCCGAGCTACAACATCATGATCCTCCAATTGAACCAGATCACCCACCTCCTCCGACAAGCGATGATGTCGCAACGGATGATGGATACGCTTCATCCGAGCATTCCGCACGGTCGTCATCTCTAGCATCGAGTGTGCGCGATTATCAATTCGAGAATAGTCGACGATATCACAAATTTAAAGAGGGCTTATACCAATTCCCAAATGATCTACCCGAGCAAGAAAGAGAGGATATGAAGCATACGGTTGCAGTGCATCTTCTTGGTGGAAAGTTGCACAATGCGCCGTTGGACCGTCCTCAGAAGATCATCGATGTTGGGACAGGGACTGGAAGTTGGGCAATTGATAGTACGCAAAATGATCGAGGCGGAAAGAAGAATGCTGATGCCTTGTAGTGGGCGATGAATATCCAAGCGCTGAAGTCATTGGGATCGATCTCAGTCCCATTCAACCACCATGGGTTCCTCCCAACGTTCGATTCCTCGTCGACGACGCCGAAGCACCATGGCTATACTCCGAAAACTCAATAGACCTTGTCCATTTGCGCAACATGTCCACGGCAATCAAGGATTGGCCTGCGCTGCTGGGACAGATCTACCGGTAATACTCCCGCCCCCGATGGTGCTCACAGCTGACAGTCGCAGCGTATTGAAGCCAGGCGGTTGGATCGAGCTTCCCGAATTCCGATGGGTATACGGATGCGACGACGGAACACTACGTCCCGACTTTACACCGCCGCAAATGGTAGCCAATATCCGAGCTGCCCTCGCCAAGTCAGGCATCGAGATGCACGCTGCCGAGAAGAACCCCGATAGACTGCACGACGCTGGATTCGTCAATATCCGCCACGAGATCAAGAAGGTGCCGGTCGGTCCGTGGCCAAAAGACCCGAATCTCAAGATGATTGGTCTCTACAACAGGAGTGTCATCTATGATGGTCTGTACGCAATCACCATCGGCCCGTTCACTCGAGCTTTGGGATGGACGCCTGAAGAGGTCGAAGTCTTTCTTGTCAAGGTTCGAAAGGACTTGAAGGATCCTTCGGTGCATTCCTATGTCCACTTCCATTCGCTATGTGCGCAGAAGCCTTTCCACCCATAGACTGCCCTTCCATGGCTCGTTGCAGGCTGGATTGCGCATTACGATCACTGCCCTCTTCTGTACGTGTAGGGGTCTTCTTGCCCGTGCCCTAAATAATCCCAACTTCCTTCTTGAACATCTCCAACCATTGGGCGTGGTCCGCAGGTGTTTGGTTCCAAGGATCATCACTGACGGGGTAAATTAGATGCGTCAACTGACAAGAGGGCGCGTACTTACTCATTGTAAAGCAGACATCGAGCTTGGTGTCTAAGCTCCTCATCCGAAGGAACATGACAGATTGGGTTATTGGGTGACATGGCTGCTTTTACCCATCTCTTCATCTCGCGCGCAAACCACGGGAGGTGATTCGGGTCATTCAAGACATAGATCCCCGGACCTAGCCACGTCGGCCGAAGGCCAGACTCGCCTTCTGCTCCAGGACTCGGGGTCGTCTGTGGTATCTTGGGTGGTGATTTATCGTCTGACCAAAGCCATGTAAAGTCGTCGAGTGATGCATCGAACGTGGATTGATCAACGTTATTCGCTGGTTCGTTTGCTTGCCAAGTCATGGTTGTGCCCGACGGTCCAGCTTGCCCTCCGAAAGACCAGTCATTTCCGTCAAAGAGAGACGAGTTGTTCACCCAGGATAGATCATGCTGTGTCTGGACACCTGTAGACTCAGTAGACCATGCCATATTACCCGGCAATTGAAGTTTCCAGCTATCATCGGCTGAGATAAGGTCTGCACGCCGCCGAAAGTCGCTTATCCAGTTTGTTGAGTTATACAGAAAACCGATTAACCAGTTTGCAACAAACTCGGGCTTCGTTTGCAGTTCGCTTTCCATCTGCATGACAATACGGCCTGCCTCTTTTTGTAGTTCTCTATCCGAAACTTCGGACAGCGCCCTCGTTCTTCGATTACGCATGAACGCTTGCAGTCGTGACTCCAGTGGACACTCTTCAAACAATGAGTTCTTGCCCTTGACCCTCAAAACAGAAAGTCTACTTTCTGTACTCGATCGAATCGGTGCAAAGCGAGCTTGTTGAGCAATCTCGTCAGAGGACAGAAGCAAGTCTCTGAACCATGATGGACTCCCGTGAGTGTCCAGGTTCGCTTCGGGAAACGTTACTTCAGAGGCAAACATGATGCGGCAAGCCTCCAGTTGTAGGCTTTCGTGGCTCGGCAGACTTCCCACATTGTCGTTGTGGTTCGAGATAAAATATGCCAACTCGAGCGTGATGAGCTCGTATGCACTTCGAGGAGAATCGGGTGGTTTGCCACTCGCTGCGAAGGGGAATGGAGTTCCGCGTTCCAATTCGACCAAGTCTGATACATGTTAGCAACGTACTTCAAAGCATTCTACTGTTCTTACATGGTGGTAAAGCCTTCTCTATAGTCTTCAAGATGTCATCTTCAAATCCCCAGTCGCCAACCCAATTATTCATCGTACATCCCATCTTGAAGTGGTTAGCAACATGATCAACTCTATCAATCCATCTAGTCATAGAAGCTTGACAGAATCCACATCTTGAAATGATATCTGGTTGTGCTGTCCTCCACAGTTTCATGGAAAGGTCAGTTAATTTAGCGTTGTGTACCAGGCGCAGATGTTGTTTGAGGTGGTCTTTCCTGCTAAACGATCTTTCCTGACATGCAGATGGATTATGGCCACTTATATGCTCACCGCTTGGGCTATTTTCTCCGCAGAATAGGCAGATGATTTGGCCAGTATCTGGATCTGTGGCTGTTGGGCCGTCAGGGGAACACTCCCATCGTTCTAAAGACAGGTGTAATGAGTTCTCATGACGTTGCCAGTCGTATTTCCGGCTAAAGGTTTCGGTACAGAATGTACATTGGAATGTGAGGCGGGGTTTCATAAGTGATGTTTTCTGGGGTCTTCGTTTTTGGATCGACCTGCCTCGACTGTGTGATGAGGTACCACTGATGGAGCCGTGGGAGGAACGTGAATCTGCTGATGTGCTTCTCGATGTTCCGAGACTGCTAGTCGTTGATCTATGGCCACGTCTCCGGGGTATTCTCTCGTCACTTGAGAACGTGCCTCTCCGACTTCGACTTCCTGCTCTTGTCAGATTCAACCTTGCGCTGGGGGTAGGTAACAGACTGGATGTGACTAATTGGCTTGAAGCCATCGCCCGGGCAATAGCAGACACAGCAGCCGGTTCATTCTCAGGTGGTGAGTCGACCCATCTCTGCAAAGGATGCATCCCCTTCTCAGATCTTCTTCGTGGTATCGGTGTACCAGCTCGTGTTGGCGTATACTCGGCAGGAGCCTTGCCAGACTTTCCTGAAGCTGTCTGAGTTCCGCTATCTGTAGTAGTTCTCCGTCTTCGGGCATTTGCTAGCCAATTAGTAATTTGAGTTCGAGTCAAGCCGGTCTGGAGCTCCAGCATATTCTTTTCTTCTTCATTTGGATAAGGGTTGTCGGAGTTTCGAGCAAACCAGTCCTTCAAGGAGCGGATGGCATCGAGAGTGAAGCGATGACCGATCTTTGGCGGGAGGGGAGAAGGGATTGGCGGAGTAAGGATGCTGGGTGATCGAGTTGAAGATGGAGATTCAGAAACATTTCTCATGAGGTCCCCGAAGTTGAGTGCGAGTTGATCAGTCCCTGGGCGCTGCAGCCCATCGCGTTGCAAGCTGGTATCGCCTTGAAGCTGGGTCTGTGTGAAGTCGGTGCCATCTACCGTGAGAGGCAGTTGGGTCATATCCGCAGACCATAAATCGTCAAAGTTGAACTCGAACTCATCCCCCCCCAATCCATTCTCAAAAACAGATTCATATACGTTCGACTCAAGTGTACCAGGATCAAAGGCCAATGCGTCAAAGTCCAAAAAGGGCTCCCCACTGGAGGTTGCATCAGGAGGGGCACGGTGCTCCGTATCGTTAGTATCACCCATATCGAGGTTATCAACGCGCATAGCGTCTATTTTCGGATGAATGTATCCGTAGGGCGCGGACTTGAGGGTAAAGAAATGTTGGTGAGGGTCAGAGCGACTTTGGCTTGAGACGATTGAAGGCTTGGTAGGCCCCACTTAAAGTCAATTGCGCCCCAGCAGCGGAGCCTAGTCCGAGATCGGATAGCTTTATAGCATCGAGATTTATGATGATTTGATGAGAATAACCATTATTGCAGTAAATGCCATTGCACCGAACTTCATTAAAGGCGTGAGATATGTGGCGGCGCGCCCTTGTTAATAATCCCTGTTCACTACCTTGAAGGTTGCGTGCAGAAGTTCACGAGGACAGCATCAGATAAATAGTCTGCACAACATACAACCGAGCCAATACAATGTTTCATTTCAGCTTATTGTAATTTCGATGATGACGCGCAGCCTTGTCGTGGTAGACGCACAGCATATCGATTACTCACTTGTGGCATCCCTTTCAGCCCAAATGACAAATAGATGGCCTCAAGTCAGCAAACATACGGCATCATAATTCGCACGCTCATGCTGAGTCACTCTCAAGGAATCAGTCCTATTTAGCAAGGTTATATAAAGCTGAGTTGTGGCCATTCTACCAGAAACTTCCGAGCCTAAACTCCTCCATCAAGTTTGACAATTTGGTCCATATCATCTCCATCCCTCTACCCCCACCAAGTCATTCTGAATTTAACCACTGTTCAAAGTCTATGTCTCCCAGATCCAAGTTGCTAGTGTCCCATTTTCCCGCACCCGTCAAAGAGTTTGCAGACTCATATTCTTGGACATTAGGGAGTGGGGCATATGGAAGAAACCCAAATATGTCGTCTTTGCCATCCGGACCAGGATCAGAGAAAGCAATCGTCGTTGGACCTGTGTGAGGAGCAGTCACCTCAGACAGGACCGTAGATAGGTGAGACGTGTTATCAGCCGTCGGGGGCGGCTGAGAGACCGTGTTCATCTGTATCTGTGTTGGGACAAGTGAGTCTCTGTCTCGGAACTGCGTCAAGAACATCTCGTTTCTCGTCTCGTTCTCAACTCTTGCAACAAGCTCGTGAGACTCATCCACTGTCACAGTGTCGCTTGGAAAGATAGTATCACGGATCTGTCTCCAGCTCCGTTGAGACACGCATTCCTTGCCACCGGTTTCTTTGTTGAGTTCATGTGAAGCAGCAGTCTGCTTCCACCCAAGTTTCTTGCAAAGCTCATATCGAGCTTCGTCAATAACGTAAGCCCTCTCCCTAAGGGCTTTGTTTTTCTCGGAAGGCTCCTTGGGACATATCGCCTTATGGTATAGCTTCTCGCGCTCCAGGGCCTCGCGGCTCATGGAGCTGTTGAACTTTTTCAGGCAATCATTGCACCAGAGAAATGGACTGTGACATCGCTTGATATGCTCACTGAGGGTTGTTAGCATGTTTGAGGGCTGGGATAGAGACGGTAGGACTCACTTGAGCTTTTCTATATTTTTGAAGCTCCTCTTACATTTCCCCGGAAAACGGTCGGCGATAACACAGGGATATTTCTTTTCTTGTGATGCAAGGCCGCGATGAGATGTAGCTCTTCTCATTATCACAGGCAGTAAATGGTACGTTTCGGTCGACCGTATGGTCTTTCTCTGGATTCAGCCTTATGTGACCCTCTCTCTGGTGACTGACGATGCCTTCTGAAGTCCTTGTCTACGGGCGAGATAGACCCAGCAGAAGATCATTCCTTCGCAGCTTGAGACAGGAGCAGGCCTACTGTCCAGTCGATGCGACGTTGTCAACACTCTCTTGCTTTGGGGGCTTTGCTCGATGCAACAGGATCGAGATATGACGGCCGGTGGGTGGTAAGACTTTGTCTCAGCTGTGTAGTTAACAGTCAGACAGTGTCGCGTCAAACAACCGCGTCTCGTTGGACAGCGGAGAGTTGACTTACCTTTCCTGGTTTACACTATACCACGGCCAAAGGGTGAGTACAGTAATAGACTACCTCGCGGGACGGTACTCGAAAAGGAATAAAGCAAAGGAACGTTGCGAGATGGTGGCTCCTCCAGGATTTGCATGAGCAGAGATGAAAACCTGGAATTGGGCCTTTGAGAAACATGATGACTGCAGAGCCGCTTGATGACTTATTTTCATCGCAGCTACATTTTTCTCTCCCTTTTTGGTGTTGTTTTGACCCCTCAATCGACTCCAAATCGCCCAACCCTGGCCGACCCCAATGGCCAATGCCCAACCCTTTTTGGGTCTGATCAACCGGCTGCCTGCATATGTATGTACTCCAACAGCTACGTGGCTCGGATGCACCTTTGACCGCCTTTTTGACACTTGGTTGTGTTCGTATGCAGGGTGAAATTGCGGGTGGTTTCGGCAGCCTCGTTGTGTTGCTGTTGAGTTGGGGGCGGAAGGGGAAGCTTGGCTGGATCTGAATTTGGTATGCTTTGCGGTGTTGATGTTGAGGAGACCCTCCATGTGTGTGTGGATGATAGCTGATTAGTAGCTAACAGAGAAAACTCAAAGTTTGCAAACAAAAGATCGTGATTATTTGTAAATACCCGTTTCAAGTATATATCCGCTGTGCCGCGTAAATGGAGAACAACCCACGCAGACTGCGGGGGACTCAGGAACAGTACCTTATTTGGTGCCGATATGCAGGGGCACTGACCTTGGCGACCTATCGAAGCTTCGGAATATATTAACTGAACACCATTGGATCTCTTGCGTGACTATTAGAAGACCTAGTGCCTGAGCTTGCAGAAACACGTGGGGTTAGGCCCAAGTGGCAAGTCTAAAAGCGTTCTCGGCCCTTAGCTTGGAGATGTATAATTCAGCAGGGCTACTAAGAGTATTTACTCCTCATTAATACTATGGAAAGAGTTCTATTTTGTAGTGGATGCTAGTAAAATTACCTATCGATAGCCCTTACCAGTTTTGGTGGCTCACTGTACTCACTTGGTCCGGGGACTTCCGTGTACTGTCGCTCTCACCAGTCGTAAATAACATATCTCAGAATATTTTCAAACCAATAGTAGCTGTAAGAAGTTTCATCGACCCTTGCATAAACGGTATACGTCTTGGAACGACAGTACAATAAGTCAAAGATCTTGTTATCTACCCAACTCTCCTGTACGTCCCACACTCCCTTGCACAACTCAGACTCATCCCTGTACCAAATCAGCACCCTCCTCACCTTGAATCTCAATAAAGTTTCCATCAGGATCAACAATAAAGATGAGCGGGTCAACACTAGACTCGAGTCCTTGAACAATCGCTTCCCTCTCCTCTAGACTCAACTGTGCAACAACAGCAGGCGGCAACCCCACTGCTGGGCCAATCACAAGATCATCAGTGAGTTCAGTAAACTTCTCTCCAAATTTCTTGACAATTTTTACATCAGGCATTGTCTCCAGACGCTCTTGTATCTTCTGGGCATCAGGGACAACAAGCCCAATATGGGCAAAGGTGTTGGGGTGTTGAGAGCTAGACTCAATGTTCTTGGTAGGAATATCGAGGTAAAAAATCTCGAGAAGACCCTGGGCATTGTTTTTCTCACGGTTTAACTCCAGAGCGGTTTGATAACCTGTTCCGTTTTTGCCGCCGTGAGCATGAGCTAGGTAGGTGATCGAATATTTTTTGCTAACGTGCAGGGTGAACATTTTGCGGAAGCCAAGGACTCTGGAGTAAAAGTCAAGACTGGCAGTGAGATTTCTGGTGGAGATGGCGAAGTGATTGATGAAATACCCAGTGGTTGCATAATCTGCAGGTTCGTCGGTGCCGAGTACAGGGTAAGGAAATTCATGTTGTCCTGACCGCCGAGGAAGCATGTTGGGGATTGAGTGAGACGCGGCGCTCAAAATGAGCTGAGCCCCTAAGAGGAGAGTAGATAGAAATCGGACCATGATTTTTGTATATCTTGGAAACAGTGATGGGAAGATTGATTGAGAATGCTGAAAGAACAACTGGCAGATGCAGGACATCGACTTTTATCATTAAACTATCCTGTCATCTATCTCAAATTGAACGGTCAATTGATCGAGCTCGTCTTACTTTCGGACGAAATTGCACGTAAGATTTGTCCTGTTGAGGTATTGATGAGGCATTGCTGGTGTTTTGGCCCATCGCTCAACCTCGCGTTTGCTTGTAGCGAAAGGCGACACAGGCGAGGGCACGATATCACAGAGTAAGCTTACGAGAGCTTCATTAAATCCGACTTCTGCTTACAAAATTTGTACCCCAAGGATAAATGCAATTACCCTGAAATGCTCCATGAACCCGTCCTCTCGAACGCAACTGATCCATGACTCGGAGGAGAAGCTGATGATGTCTGTCTCACATGTCAACCTGAGGCGAACTGTGCTATTTTCGTGATAGTGGACAAACCCCTAGAAACTGCGCTAAAACTCCCCACTGTCAGCCATGACATCGTTGCATCACCCACTGGAACTCCTCACTTTACGTTGCTGACCGAACGGGCTACGATTCAAAACGGTCTTGACGGTGCAAAAGAGTGTCGCTCGAGAAATATGTATCGCTGATCTTTTGGAGCTTTCCAGGTTTTCACTTCTGCTGATCTGGCTATTGAGTTCGGCACTTGCCTTGAATCTATGCAGATCCCTAGATGAGCAGCCAAGTGTGAGATCACGACTCTGACATCGAACTTGTCATGTTCCCTGTACCCACCTGCTTGCAGCCTGGTTCAGGACGGGTATCGCTGCCGATCGGGGACAACTTGGTGGTTGCAAGTTGCAGGTACAAGGCACAGTAAGAGCACAGTAAAGGCACAGGACCTACAGGGCAGTCAAGATACTGAGTATGGATGCGACCGCATTGATCTACTCAATTGAGACACGATTCAATCACGGTCGCGTTCACGATGCAAGGTCAGGAAAAATTTGAGAATTTGCTTTCAATTGAACTGCTCCAGGCAATTCCCCAAGACGCACTTAGACGCGTCCGCCCAGTGCCATCTTGGTCAATTCAATCTATGCTATGATATCAAGATTCTATCGCTGGTCT